ATTTCAAAGCTAGAAACTCCCGTTGGAGCGCTTGACTAACATGGTCATACTAAGTGAGAAAGCACGAGCCAGTTTCTTCACGCACGTACACACACACACACACACACACACACACATGGATGTGGTTAATATCCAGGTGGAGCGCGTGTTCCAAAGTTCTAGTTCAAGACAAAAATCTGCTCGTTGTCCTTTTTTGACCTGACACGCATGAACACAAATACACACGCACACACACGCACGCGAACACACACGCGGGCGCACACAGACTGACACACTTTAGCCCTGTAGGCAGTGATATGAGAGCCAGTTGGTGTTTTTGCAGCACTTAGCAAGCCCGTATTCCCTTACCACAACAACATCCAATCACCTGCCAGCTCCTGACCTCTGAACCCTGTCACACAGTCAAAAAGGGGAGTTGGGGGTCTTCGAGGGGGACTGTCGGGGGTAGTGGGGAGGATATGTTGCATACCAGTGTGTAGGGTAGAGCGTGGCCCAATGACGCGGGATCCATGAAAGTGAAGGCGGGAAGGCATCGGCGCGCAACATTTCGTAGCATCTTTTCATCACGTTTGCAGAAACGTGAACCTCCCCCCAGGGTCTTGTTTACACTCCTCTTTATCATCATCTTCATCCTCTTGTTTTTCTGCCGCCATCTCTTTCCCTCCACCAAGCACAAAAGAGTCACAGGGGTTGTTTTAATTTGTTAGTTTGCAGTTACGCAAAAAACAAAACAAAACACGATAATGCCTTTTTTTCGCGTAGCATTCTGCCTTAATTCTTGTAAAATTAAAAATAAATTCCCATCACAGTGCAGCGTTATACAGTACAAAAATGCGACAATAGTAATATTCGAATGTTATTTTTTTTAAAATGACTCATCTTCTGTCTTACCATAAACTTGTAAATGTACACTTTTTTTTGGATCTAAAAATTTTAACGTGATAAAATTAGTTTTTTTCTCCTAATTTTTAGACCTTATTATTGCAAAATTGCTACTTTCTTTTATCATTCTTTTTTCTTGTGATATTCGAACATTATTTTTGTGAAATAATTTTCTTTCTTCTAAAATTGTGATTTTCATCACGACTCAATTGCTCCTAATTTTAACGTAAGACAAGATGACTCGTTTCTCTCTTTTTTTCCATTCTTTTGATCTTCTTTGCCAATGGAAGATGGGCTTTGGTCCTCGCTGTCCTCACTTTGTCCTTATTTTCCTTTCCTTGTCCTTATTTTCTAAAGAATTAAATGAAGGACTCGTTCACAGCAGATAACAGGTTTGTTGATGTCGGAGTTTTTTAATCCCTCCCTGCTACAGCCGTAAAACAATCATGCTAAACGCTATACAGCTAAACTACGGGACGATGCTTGTCTATTGCTGTCAATTACTGAAATTATATTTTATTATTGAAATTGGCCGCCTTTCTTTTATTAGCCGAGCACATGAAATAAAATAAATACTATCATAAATAATAAATAAATACACACCCGCACACAAACACACTGAAATGCACTCACTTGGCCTGTTTTATGTGGCTGGTGAAGGATTACATTCGTCAGTGAGCACATTAAATAGCGTCAGATAATCATGACTCAGCACTTTGTGGGATTCACCACCAATTAAATAAGTGTGTCTGTACTCATTTTTGTGTGTGTGCGCACGTGTGTGTCCTCTCTGTTGGCTGCCATGTTTCCAGTGTAACTGTGCTGCGTGTCAGCGGGTTACAGAAGCTGCTAAGACCTGAAGGCTCAAACTCCGGTCCTCGAGCTCCAACACACCTGATCCAAAATGATCAGGAGCATTGTCAGGCTCCTGTAGAGCTTGCCAATATCATCAGTGAGGGGTTCTGTCACCCTGGCCAGTGGCCACCCCGCTGACAAAATTTCTGGCTCCGCCCCCCCCGCTTGACCGCCAGCAGCTGTCGTCGTGCCGAGGCCTCACTCACTCAGGGTCCAGCGTGTCACACCGCTTAACGGGGACTCAACACAAGTCAGCGGAAGGATTAAGGACGCGGACATCACACGAACGGGCCAGTCGGCCTCACGTGTCATCACCTGGATAAGTATTGACAGGCAGGGCAGAGTATTTTAAGTCAAGATGATGGACAGGGCGAGTGGGGAATATTCTGAAGTATATTGTGAGGATAACTCACAGGACGCAACATTAGGTACACCATGACAAATTGGTGCATTCAAATGACATCATGACCACAACAGACTTTGGTTTTTTTTTCTTATTATGACATTTTTCTCGTGAAAAAAAAAAAGTTCTTACAATTTTTGTTCTCATATAAACAAACTCTATATTGCAGCATGAAAAAAAAACTGAAAAAATGCACAATTATTCTTGTAAAATGACTGAAAACATAAGAATGTATTATAAATGTATTTTGGTTACATAATTAGATTCTTCTTGTGACATAACGACTTTAAAAAAACACTCTACTCACGTATCGTGACTTTTAATTTGCTTTTTTATTCTTGTAGCATGGGATTTTTCTCGTGATATTTCTTTTTTCCTGAGAAAACTTTATTGACCATTTTTCCAAACACAACAAAAAACAACCCTTGCGAAATTCCACATTTTTCAAAGCAATTCGCCAAAGTCCTTTCTTATCAAATGCAACATGCAAATGTAAATTCTTATCAAAGTGTGACTTGCAACTTTTTTTCTTCATCAGCACTTGTTTGTTCTAATGAGCTGTAAACTGGATCCAGAGTTACTCACCCAAGCGTGCCAAACTGTCAAACACACAAATACAAAATGAGAACAATCAAGAAAACCAAATAAAAAAGCAATACGTGTTTACTGTATATTAAAAAAAATACTCTGGATTGAAATGTAGCGTAGTGATGCATAAAGTTATGAAATTGTGACGGAAGTGACGTAACAGCGCACAGTATGGCCCCTGCTTCCCGCCGTCGCATCGGCCAGAGTTACGAGGAAGTTGCATTGGTGAGTCACGTTTCGTTAATTAACAATTTGATAAGAATATTTCACTTTGTTCTATTCTTCTCTACTGTGTGGTGTGCCCAAGTAGTTGCTTGGTTTGTTCCGAGCCGACATTGCTTTTTGTGTTTTTAACAAAGTTACGTTTTGTCCAATGAAAGTTTTTACATGTTGAATTGATCGCAAATGCTTGTCTGTTGCGCAGCAATGTCCGAGACCCAATGCGACTTCACCTTGCTCCCGCCACACTGTGTTGCAGGTAATGTTTGTTTCTTTTCAGTTTTGCTCTACGTAGTTATTCGTGTTGTATTTCCTTTGGTCGACTGTGTTACTGGTGTGAGCCCGCAGTTTGTCGCGGCAGCCCTTCTTGTTAGTTAGTTGCGCAGCCGTTTCTGCTGCGTGTGATGTGTTCAAAGACATCTCGTAAATAACAGTGAATGTTTTTTTTTTTTTTTTTACTGTATGTGACGATACGATCACGCTTGTTGTATATATTGTTTTCCTCTGAACAATGTTTTGCTGGCAGCGCTACGAGGAAGTTGCATTGCAATGTCCGAGACCCTATGCGACATCACCATTGCTCCTGCCAGACTGTGTTGCAGTGTTGTATTAAAAGAACTGCCACAATCCACAGTGTCAGTGGTGACAGCAATGCGGAGCTATATATATATATATATATATATAAAACGGTCTTAAAATCAAGTCAGAACTTCCTGCCAGCAGTTAGTTTTGCAAGTACGCAACACAGACACATGCAGGCAAAAGGCGAGCAGGTGTTGTTTACACGCACGCTGGTATGCACGCTTGTCACTCTGCGTGTTCTTGTCACCGCGCCAAGCCAGAACAAGTCAGGTGAGCTGAACGGAGAATTTATGAACGAGGTGGTTGTTACTAGCGGCTAGCCACCGACTACTGTCAGTATTACAGTAATTACCCGGAGGCCCGTGTGCTAAAATAGAAGTTCTGAGTGATGGAGGTGACTTTGGAAAACTAAGCAAGCAAGGCGCCAGGCCACGAACGGCTCGGGTGTGAACGCTGCGGAGAAGGTGGGCCAAAACGAAGCCGACGCGCTTTGTTTTGGTTCCGGAGCTGAATGATGGCAGCTGGATTGGAGGCACTTTGGTAATGGCAAACTGGCTGAGAATAGAAAACCAGTGCCCAATGTGCTTCATAGCAGATGGCATTGATTTCATTTCTTAATAGGATGCTCGAATCAAGATGCTCATCTCTGGGTCGGGGCGGCCGTGTGTGTGTGTGTGTGTGTGTGTGTGTGTGTGTGTGTGTGTGTGTGTGTGTGTGTGTGTGTGTG